TCCTTTAAATTAAAGTGGCTATTAAACTATTGCAGGTGAACAATTCAGTCTAATAGGTTGGTTTTCAAAATTTTATTCGTTGTTACATGAGCATCACATAAGATACATAACTGTGAAATATTAGAATTCTTCAGTTTTGTGATATTATCTATCTGATTAAAGCATATCATAAGTTGATATATAAACGATAATTGAAATGTTTTTATACTCAAATAAAAATATTCGATAAAAATTTCATATAAAAAATTTCAATAATTATTTATTTAAGTTATTAAATTTTTATTTGAAATTTATATTTAAAAAGTTAAAAAATTAAAATAGGTCAATTAAAAATAAACAAAAAGAATAGTATATTATAATTTATATATAAAATTCAAACAAATCTTTGTGACTAAGAATAATATGATTCAATTATAACACATGTTAACTATATATCTTTATTTTTTAATATATAAAAATTAAAAATTAAATCTTAAACTTTTGACTAAAAAGATAATTAATTTTACTACTAAATCATATAACTAATAGTGTTAGAAAAAACCAAAAAAGAGAAAAAAAATAACTGTCATATAGTTGTTACTTGTATCGCGTTTTGTTGTGGTTGAGAATATTACTATTTTTTAAAATTATTCTTGTAGTCCATGTAATGTTGTTTAATTGACTAAAAACAAATGAAGGGCTTAGTCAATTCTAACAAGGCCAACCCGTCACAGCTCGATCGGTCTCAGACTTTGTACCTTCACCGGTCTCGATCGGTCCGAACCGCACCATGCATAAAACAGTTCAACAGAGATTTATTTATTTATTTATTTATTTTTTATTTTTTATTTTTATTTTTTTACATAAGAAAGTTATATAGATCTAAAGTCCTAAGGAACTAAGTACATATGCTGTCTCCATGGAAAATGTTCTCAATACCTACCAGTGGATTTGAAAAGAAGGAAGTGCCTTGTGTAAGATTCTGATCAATAGAGATCATAAAATCCGCTGCGGTATTCCCTTCCGGCCAAAACCTTTTCTTTTTCTATCTTTTTCTTGGTCTTTTCTTGGAAGTCCATAAGTTTCCTCCTCGCCGGCTTCTCTAACTTCACTCTGTACGTACTGAATTACAGACCTTCATTGATCTCCCTCAACCTCTCACTCGATCGCTGTGCTTTCATGGCGACACCACGAGACCACGTGGAGAAGATCAGGAAGATCAAGTTCTCCATTGGAGGAGACCCCAACCCCTTAACCGAAGACCTTCATCAAGCTGTCAGGAACCTTTCGGCCGAACTCTACACCAAAGATGTCCATTTCCTAATGGAACTCATCCAGGTCATGATCGATCCATCTATATATATTCATT